TAAGAAGACTTGATATGAAGTAGGAGCTGTATTCTAAAAGCATGCAGAAAGAACGAGGTTTGAGTCCAGAAAAGAATCCGGATCCCGGACTACGGATCCGGGTCATAAAACGTTACAAATAATGCGTATTTATACATTTAGGTAGAATAGGAAGTGTGTTATGTTTAGATTTGACTCTGTTCACCATCACCCATTGTCTTCGGTAGGTAATTACCTACATCCAACACTACTGAACTCCATTGGTTGCAGCATCTGACTAGGACTCCAAGAATTTCCCTAAGAAGCTATCCTCTAGTAAGTACACTGTATAAAATTTATTATACAGTTGCAGAGATTGTTGTTCTTCACTGAAATTATGAATCAATCGATATGCATTAGAAAATATCAGAGGGACAACGAGTATCCACAGAAATTCATTTACGAAATCTAGGGAAAATAAACACAAAAACCCCATAAGAAACCCACTTAGACGAAAAACCTATTTTCAATCCAATTTAGTTTAAAAGTTGACAATGGTATTTACAGGTTCAGGAGTCGTGAATGAGCACTGTTGATAAGTCCCATACCTAGGCAGAAACGGCCATCCAGTGCTTCCAAGATTCTAATGGTGTTCTAACAATGATTGATTGATGATTTCAAATGTGCATTGAGGGGTTGTGAAGATTCTTAAGTTACACATTTTTGAAACCACGAATCGATCAATGTTAGACCAACATTACAAACCTTGAAGCACTGAACAGCCGTTTCTCCCTGGTATGGAACTCCTCAGCATGGCGCATCCAGGACTCCTGCACCCCGCAATATTCGAACCCAGGACCTTCGGTATTGTGCGCGAACGCGAAACAGCCGTCCAGTGCTTCCGAGTTTCTAATGGTGGTCCAACAGTGATGGATTCTTGGTTTCAAAAATGTGTAACTTAACAATCTTCACAGCCCTGTAGTGCAAATTACCTGTGCTCACCAGTGACTAGCTTCGTGAGGAATCTTCTCCGAGTTCTAGTGGGAAGACGTGACCAGTGAAGTTCAACCTGTTCGGGTGTAGACAGTAACTACCGAAGACTGTGTATGAGGTTGCGCAACTCCGTGAATTGATCATGATGGATATTAACACCGATAGACACCGGCTCAGTTGTCCAATGGTTAGGCGTTCGCGCATAACACCGAAGGTCCCGGGTTCGAATCCTGAGAGGTGCAGGAGTCGTGTATGCACACTGCTGATGAGTCCCATACCAGGACGAAACGGTCATAAAGTTCTTGTCTAACATTGATCGATTTCAAATGTGTAATAAATACAGGATTAAAAGTCAAACTGAACTAAATGTATCTTCAATTCAAGCTGACTATCTTCTACACAATAACATATTCCTTACTGAATTCAAAGAGAAATACATTTTTTTCTAAAAAAAATTTATACTGTCAACTGCATTCCGATTTATAAATAAAAAAACTGTTATTTTCATTTTTGATATTTTTTCAGCCTCTTTTATTAATCGTCTTAATCTGTAATTCTATGCAATTTAATTATGTAATTCTGGAAGTCAGGTGTTGTTTTGTGTTATGTACAGTTTTTCTGGAATTTTCACACTCAGTAAGATATAAATATTCATTTACTTTAGCATTATTCGTTATTCTGACCATCTTTATTAGTATGATATAAAGTATGTAAATTGATTGTAAATAATTATTACAACTGTTTATAAGTTGTGTTGAAGCAGCTGATGAGAGTCGATGAAAAAAGAAATGAATTCATCGTATTCGGAAACCTTTATTTTCTTTGTTTTAGTAAAATAATTGTTCTTTTTTCAATGTAATGATTTATTTTGAGTGATTATTGGGTTATTTCATTGATATGCTCATCATCAGTTGATATGTTTAAAGGTTATTATGAGTTCACCTTACTCGGTGAACGAGAGTGAAGACAAATGATGCAGTGACATGAAAGTCTGTTCTAATCCGAGCGTCCCAGGCCCTGCTAACTAAATCAAGAAGTCTTGATATGGGCGTAGAAAGTGTACTCTACAAGCACCCAGAAAATATGAAGTTGACAAGCACACAAATCGAGTTTATTTATACATGAGAGAAACGTCCTTGATGAGAGCCAGAAAAATAGAGTACTAAAATAATACATCAACCAATCACAGCCAAGGATTTTCCCAGTGGGAAATGTAATCTCAATGTCAACTAAGCAGCCTATGCGCGGAAACATAAAGAATCCGAAACTTGGACCTTTATCGAGTGTGTTTTGGTGATCGAATCTCCCTAATAATCTTTGTATTTGAATGAATATGAGTGTGCGTGCGTGTATACGTGTAAAATGAGACTAAAATAAAAGTGAAGAAGGCTCACTATCTTACACAATCAGTTATCGTGATTTAATTTTCTTTTTGATTTATGAAAATAATCAATTCTCATCTTAAACTGATCGATATTTGGTTGATTTCTTTACATCTGATTAACAAGTAACTAAATACTGTATATTCATTTCAGAAACTTACATAATAATGTACCGTTTGATGAATACACTTCATTACAGGATATTATAAAGCCTATTAAACACGAGGAGTCCTATGTAGCAAATTATTTCATACGAACAAAGACTGTCCAACTTTTCAAATCCTTACTTACGTGCTTATTTACTTACTTACTTACCTACTTACCTACCTACTTACTGACTTACCTACTCACTAACTTATTAACGACTGTTACCCCTGTTGGATCATCGACAACCGACCAATACTTTCTAATCTACTCTTTCCTGGCCTGTCCTTCCCAGCTCCACCAAAATTCAGTTCATTCTTTTGGTATCAGCATTCGATTATTGGCGTAATGTGTGCTTTGGTTTGCCCATTCCTCCTTGTCCTTGAAGATTCCAAGTAAGGGCTTGTTTTCCACAATGTGTGTCCTACCCACCTCTATCGCCTCTTTCTGATTTCTTCCTCAGCTGTAGGAATCTGGTTTGTTTTCTCCCACTGTAGGTTCTTGTTGATGGTGTCTGGCCCGTGGATCCTCAGTATCTTGTATAGACAACTTTTAGTAAACACCTTTATCTTGTGAATGATGACTTTTGTAGTCTTCCACGTTTTATCTCTATACATTAGAACTGTCTACACATTTATACTAAAAATTGTGACTTTGATGTTAATTAATAGTTGTTTTGAGTCCAAGCTGTTCTCAAATTTTCGAATTCTTAAAATCGTCTAGACAGAATTTTTGGAGTTATTGTATATAACCTTATTTTATAATCAACCAGTAACTAGATTACATCTATATATATATATATATATATATATCATCCTTTTATTATGATTTTCTGAATAACACATTCACTACTGTTGTGTAATTTCTTATCCTCAATCTTTTGCTAGTTTACTATTTCACACTCTATCCTATTTTTACAGTTATTTTTAGCTCATTTATATAAAAATGTATTTTCTCATTTTGGTAGTGTGATATTATAGTCTGGTTATGTTCAGTTTATAAACTATGTCTATTTGAAATAGAACAAGAATTTTATGGAGGCTGGCTTACCAACCAACCTTTGGACTAAGATAGAGAGAGAGAGAGAGTAGGAAGAAGAAGAAGGCTACCCCACAGTGTGAACCAATAAGGATTTAGTGCAAAGTATAATTTTGATTGGTGTATTTTTTTAAAGTTATTGCTCAAGTAATTTTAGTCAAATGGTT